TGTTTTATAGTGCAAAAAAAAAAAACAATCCTCTAATTATCTGCTTAAATGACCTCAAATGGGAAAAAAACCTGATAACATCGACATAAAAGTTAAGTTTGTTGTGATGCTTTCAATTTGAAACTGTCAAGATGCTGTTTTAACTTTGCATCAATGGATAATTCCAGGTATTTAAGCCCAACATTGTATTTTGTGAACCTTTGGATCCCATAGAATTAGAGAAAACTGTGGTAATTGTGTAAACATAACATTTTGATGGCCGGTTGGTCATGTACCCAAAAAGGTTTCATTTATGGGAAATCAATGTCTCTGCTTTAAGAACAAACAGAGAGGAAAATAAAGTACAGCTCTGAGGAAACAGAGGAAGAAAACAGCAAAAACACTGTGCTTGTTTTTAAAGTGAGTGAATCTGAGTCATCAATCTCTCTCCTGTGTGGAAAAAAAAAGCCTCCGCAGACTTTCCACTTGTGAAACAGCACCCGAGTGTGGGGATCAAAACAAAAGACAGTTTCAAGCCACCAGATCTATCTTGTTAAAAAGTGTAATGTCTATATTCACACGATTCCTGAAATGTTCACTCATGCAGTACAGCAGAGAATCTGGTGTAAAACAAAGCCTCAATATTTGTGACCAAAAGAGACATTGAGTTCAGAATGTTGTATTTTAGCCTGTGACTTAATTCCCTGGGTTGTTGAGTCTCACTGTCAGATTTACGAGCTGTCTCTGTCGAAGCCTCTGGATGGCCGTCTGGCTTCTATCAAACTGATTCACCTTATCTATTTCTTTTCTCTTTCTGACTCTGTTTTCCACACTTTACCTCCATGTGTCAACAATATATCTCCACTCTGGTTGTTTTTTTTATGTTGACCCTGAGTGATTTGTATTTGGGAGCTGAGAGTAGTGAAAACCTGATACGATAATCCTGGAGAACTCAAGATGGCATTACAGATGAGCATCTTCTAAAGCATGATGTGGTGCTTTAGCTTCGTTTTTTTCAGCTTTTTTCGTTCACGAATTTCAAAACAACAGAGCAAATTGCTTGAGTTTAACAATTATATAACACTTTATATAAATTATATATAAAAAAAATTATTTATTGCCAGAGCACATCTGTACGGGAATGAAGTTGTAAGTATGACTGATTTAAAACATCTGTGGTACATTACTGAGCGATGTGTCTGAAAACTGATGTTCACTATAAACTTCTGCAAGCTGATAGCAAGTTCATGAAATGCATCAAACAAAGTGGTTAGCTGTGATATCAATCATCCAGAATTCAAAACATATTGTTTGTGTGGATGAGACGATGAAGAGCTGCTGCATTGAAGTCTGGATTTTATCCTCAAATTTTCCGAAGCTGTATGTGAGAACACAAAGGTCCGAGTCAGCAGCTCCGGACAATTTGACAATATTTTCCTGCCAACTCCTGTAAAAAATATGTGTAAATGTGTTGATGACGTTTCTAACACGTGGTGGACGCCAAACTGGAAGATTACAATTACCCCAGGTTGAATACAAGAAGACACAGATGTCAAGTTTTACTTTTGTGGAAGTGACACATCCTGTGTGCTCTACCCAGAAACCCTACCTACCTAAAATGATTGAAGATGCACTTTGACTTTTTTGTTTTGTCCATGATCTGTGGGCCTATATGGAAACCAGCCACCAGTGGGCGATCAAGATAATGTGACTTCACTTTTGTGGAGCAGTCATGTCATCCATCTTGTATGATCTATGGATTTTACAGGATTGAATGGGGATTATGTCTCGCCAAGCTAATAAGCGTCCAAAAGCAACTGAATGGACAAAAGAGTGGTTTTGATTTTCTCATCTAGCAAGAAAGCCAATAAGTGTATTTCCCAAACTTTTGAACTGTAAAATACAAAGAGGACAAATCTGAACAATGTGTGTAGTTTGTTTGCTGCCAATGCTTGAGTCATGTGTTTGTGCTTGAGTAACGAAAAGAGATAAAACTGTCAAAAACAGCTGTTTTGTGTGAAGTATCCAACAATTTCCAAATCTAAAAAAGCTCTTGCAGTGTGTGCCGAGCTTTAACGCACTTAGAGCCTTGGGACTGCTTGTTTTTAATGTGTGGCTCTCCGCTGTAGCTTCACCGAAGTGCGGATGGGCAGTTTAGAGAGTGAAAGCCAGAGGACCACAGCTGGATGGAATAATTGGGGAGGCGAGCGGGGGATGTGTGAAGTGATGGATGAAGAGAAGGTTGATTTCAAATAGAGCTAGAAAGTGTTGAAGCAAGATGAGTTTCAGTGGAACCATGACTGTCACACCCACGTCTGGCTGTTCTCCTGCTGCTCGACTCCATCTCCCTGCCAGCGACACAGGAAACATGCATCAATGCAGAAGTTCATACTCCAGACAGCGACAAGGAGAATATGAAATGGTTGAGCAACAATAAATTTGCAGGTGTCAGCATTGTCAGCGATCCTCGTCAAGTCTGAATCACTCAGAATTTTCTGCACAGGATGTGAAGAGCATCTGCTGCTCGGCTGACGAGGGCTAGAGGTCGCAGGGAGCGGGGTGGCCCAATCATGACGAAGCACTTCTCAAAGATTCCACAACACAGTGCTACAATGCAGCGTTACCGTGGGAACCAGATTGGGTGGGGCCGTTTGGAGAGCGACAGGGAGGGTTTGACTTGACAAGTGACGGGCGCTGATGGCGACGCTTCGTCGACCAAATTGTACGCTGAGTCACACGAGACACTCTCCCACCCTTGAGATGAGCTAACCTCAGTGTCTGGAGTCCAGCGGAGGAGAAGAGGGATCCTGTTTGGTTTGATGCGAGTCACAGGTCTTTTAAAAAAAAGTGTCCAACTTAGTTCATCAACAAATCGCATGTCAAGATGTGACTTGAAGCAGCATTAACACTTCTTGGGAGTAATATTTCTGGTCACCTGAGCTCTCCCAGGCAAAATGCTCCACTTTTCCCTCCAGTAGGATAATGACCAGGTGAAGCTCGGAATCATAAAACCAAAACAAACTTCTCAAAGATGCTCAAATGTTCTGCAGAGCTGAGGGGACCTGCAGCGTTCACTATGGCCTTGTCACTATAAGTAGTCACGTGACTCAAATGATCAATTATGTTCGTCAACGACCATTTTTACGTTTCTAAGATGAAGCGATGACAAAAGGACACCAATGTCTTTAAACACAGGCTGTGACTGTCGGAACTTGTAATATCGTTAATGAACAGTCAAACTAAATTAGAAACCAGGAAGGCTTTATCTTCTCTTTCTTCTTCTATTGTTTAATGATGTTTCAAGTTGCAATTGGAATGTGTTCGGACTAAATCAAAGGTGGAGACATAAGGAAGGTGTGGAAGCGCCCTAAAAACTCAGATGGTCCATGTTCTGAGAACGTCTCCCACTTCATCCTCTTTTGATCTTTTTTTAGGGTCCATCCTGATCCAGGACCAGCACTTGCTTTATAAAGCACTGGGAAAGCTGACCTACAGCCTCTTCCCCTGCAGACAACTGTGTGTCCTCAGTTCAGTCACAGTTTATTCCTCCACCAGTCCAACCTCACATTTCCTGGACGGCAGTCTTTCATGACACTTCTCCTTAAGTCTGGGATGTGGAAAACTTGTCCGGGGTTTCACACCATGACATGAGGTGTAAATAAGCACGACCTTAAGAGGGTAACCTTTGCTGCAGTGTGTTGGTCACAGACAGGCTGTGCTTCTTTAACTACACACACACACACACACACACACACACACAGTAGCCACAGTGTATTCACATACAGTGGACAGGAGATGTGTCTTTTTCTTGTAGACTTCAGACTGTGTAGTAG